TCTCAAATTGTGTATGTCCCAAACTGAAGTCTGTGCAATATCATGATTGGGGGTGTGGGTTCGGGTTCAGGCAAGATTTATTTCATGTTTTGAAGAAAAGCAGAAAATTGATTTCTAATACTTCTGCGGTAGGGCGGAAAAGAGTCTGTGCAAATTAACTTCAAACTAAGGGCAAAATATAAAGCAAAACAGAGGATCTTACTTTTTCTCTGAACTAGAATTTAGAAAGTAATTACATTCACAGCAACAATGTTTATGGTGCAGTAAGTACAAAATTTAGACCACTGGCTAAATCAGTACATGAAGCCTTTATGAAGCTCTATTATCACCCAAGTCCTACATTAAGGAAGAAAGTAATTCATTTTTAGACTTCTGCCTAGGGCATGTTTGACACAAACTCTATACAGTTTCTTTTAAAAGCTGTCTTTGATTATTAAATAGTTTTGCTTAGAAACTGCCCCTTTACCCTAAAGTGCAAAGGCAAAGCTTTTAACACAGTGATAAAATGTTGTCCTGTACTTCGTACAGTCCTTTAGATAAGAAAAAAGTAAAAGTTTTAGCTTTTAGAAGAGGGTGTGTTGCCAGAATGGTAATTTGCATTTGCAAATTCACAGGATTTTTACTGTTAAATTAAGCCCAACAGCCAGTTTGAACCGTCTGGGAGTGGTAGGGCTGAAAACTGGTGTAGCAGACACTGTAACTAAATTACAGCAGGTATAAGCCACCCCTTAAGGGAGAGACACAGCAGGGAGGACCACTTGCAGCACAAAGCTGTCAGGGAGATCTCATAGGAAACAGGCAAGTCTGGAAGTACTAGTGCTGGTTGGACAAGAAATAGATGACAAGTTATATGAGTATCTGCAAGGGATGTGTGTATAATTTGTCACTACGTGTGGTGTATATACAGTTATCTTTTGAATAAGAGGATTGTGATTCCTTAGTCCTCTCAAAACTTGAACCCTGAAATTCTGAAGCATTATGTGCCTTTGCCTCTTACTTAAAGCATATAAACCCTTTTGACAAAGTTCATCTTGCTGGTTTTAAGCATTCTTAGACTTTTCAGTTTTGCATATGAAAAGCTGAAACTTTTGTGTGGCTGTCAGCGAACAGAAGAGCCTGTGTTACAGTGCAAAGTGTAATCTGACCTATAGCACCTTCCAAAAAGCAAATGCTGAGTGTCAAGCCCACAGACATCCAGTGCAGAAGAACAGGTCCTCACAGTATTAACTACTAAAGATGTATAAACAATTTCTTGCCTCAAGTCATCCTCTCCAGGTCTGTGGGTCCTCTCTGGGATGGACTTGTAGGTGAGCAAAAGCAGAGGAGAGGGCTTCTGGGCCTGCAGCTGTCATAGCAACTACTCCAGATTGTTTTTTAGGGAGGCCATTAGGAAATACAGGAAAAAACCCTTTGATCACCAAGGGATTTTGCGGACTAGACCACTTGCTGTGCACTACAATTACAATTTATTATGTGTTTTGCAAAAACAATAGTCTTTAATCATGCATAATTCACTGCAGAACAGAAAGTTTTTAAGCACAGAAAGCAATTGAAGGCCTGGACATAACCTGAAGTTTAAAAATGTCCAATTTCTAATATGTTTTTCAAGGAAACATACCTTTCCTTAAGTCATCAATTAAATGATTTATTTAGTCTTCTTGTAGACTAGAAATTTGGAGAGCATTTAATCTGTCTGCTTATAGAGAAAGTTGTTGTTCATTTGTCACCTGGCAAAGAGAACTGGTCTGGGGGCTAACTACAGGTCCTTGTGCTGCCCGAGGGAGGGGGCAGCAGTTTATGATAATTCACTTTTTATAGTCCTTGCCTGTGTGTTAGAAAAGCTGTTTTAAATTCACTGCTAAGAGTATGCCCAGCCATGTGAGTGACTATGTTGATGTTTACTGCTGTGCAGGTCTCAGTGATACCTTGCAGCAATGAGTTCAACAGATTTTCCACCACCCACTGTTTGGAAAAATATAATTTATTATTATTAGATTTATGACCTTTTCCCATTTCAGTGGAGACACCTTTTCTCCTCAGATGAGTTAGGGTGAATCGTTTCTGATCTACATTTTCTCTCTGCTGTTTATTTTCTTGTATGCTTTGATCATGCTCATTCTTAGTCACACTTTTCTGTAAGCACTTCCAGTCCTTTAGATCAGTTTATCATTTTTACTACACATTTTTCTGATGTATATTTCTTAGATGGGCTAACCAGAAATGAACAAAGTACTCCAGATGAGGCCAAATTATTGATATACATAACAAATAAAATCCTGGCTCTGTTGAAGTTGCTGTGAATTCACTGTCATCGAAGGGCTGAGGTTTCTCCTAGCACTGTCACACTTCCCACATTATTTTTCCTCCCATTTTTCATACATTCAATTTCAGAATCTGGCAACTTAGACTTAATCTAGAATCCTACAGATTCCGTTAACTCCATTAAATTGCTGTTAGTCCTCAGATCAGGAGTTTTTCCCTGTGGACATGATTAGTTTCCTCCCCAAATTTTGATGAAAAAGGTCAAATTTTGTCCTGATTCACATTTGTTATGGATGTTAGTAACTAATCTTGATGTTAGTTTTGAGTAGCTGAAACTGAGAGAAGCAGCACAGACTGAAACAATGCTGTTTGTGTTCACAATGACCTTTAGCTGCAAAACCCGCTAAAATACATTATTTAGTATATGAAAGCAAACAAATTTTTTGCCTCAGTAAATGACTGTCCATAGTGCACTATGAGTATGAGGCAAAGCAACTCTGAGTTTTTACAGTGTCTGCAAAAGAAATCTGTTGGTTTTTGTTTCCTCTCCAGAAACATCTAAGAAATGTTCAGGTTGTTGCTGCCTAATAAATACAGTAAATGAAATGTTAATAAATTGCCAGCAATTTAGCCTGACAATAACATGGATTGACCAAATTGATTAAATTGATTATGTTTCATGTATTTACAATATGTAGACACAAGCCTAATTTATTTTCTGAAGAGTTCAAGGTAGGTATCACTGGTATAAAAAAAGGCAAAAAACAAAACAATGGAGTAATGTTTGTGGTTACTATCTGCAATAATCTAATGCTGACAGAGAGCAGTATTTTATTTAGTAATTAACAGTGTAAAGGGAAGAGAAGCTGTCATGTTGGTTCTTAAGCTGGGGAATGTGATGAAAGATGATATCTGCGATCTCATCCTTTCCACTTGTTTAGGATTGTCAGAATGAGAAATGTCAGCATTATGAAAGCTCAGCTCTGCTCTTGATATGATAAAACCCTTCAAAAGCCAGTCTTTCTTTCCCTCTCCCCCTCCTTTCTCCCTCTCCTGCTTGCACTTGCTTTTTTTTATTTATCCTGTTTTGTTAGATGGCAGAAATATAATTCTTTTCTTTCTTCCTATTATAAGCCTCCATTTTTGTTTTATTATATGTTTCACAACCCCTAATGCCCCACTGAAAATTACCTTGTTAAATGACAGTGTTTCAAAGCCATGAATCCTTTCCACCATTCCCTCAGAGGTTTGAAACAGTCAACAGACTGTAAAGAATAAATAATAAAAAAGTATTGATTATTTTGATGACTGTGAGATTCAATTAAGTATTAATTTTGCCCTCCAGTGGACCTATCAAGGTATTCAAAAGGGAGGATTCGGCTCAACTAAATGCGTGCTGAGTGCTTCAGCCTTAAATAGGGAGAAAATGTGTTTACCTACAGTATTTGAAGAGGAGTGCATTGATGCACAGAGTCCAATATTTAAGTGCTGTGCAAATTGAGCCCTGGTGACAGTGACATTGTTTTCGGCAGTATGAGTATTGACTAAAGAAGAGCATTTGATGACAGCTTAAACTATTTGTATTGATTAACATTTTCATAGATTATCATGTGTCATATCAAATTCACTTTTCAGACATGAATACATTAAAAAACCCACAGGCGAACATCGACCAATGTGAGGACGGGACAGAGGGAACATGCTAGCCAACCTACTTGCTCGCTGGTCACCTGTTCTCTGCATAAGAACCATTTAGGCATGAACTTTGCAATAAATAGCTGCTAGAGAGATCAACAAGGTCACTTGCTCTTTTTCTCTTTCTTAGCGTTTTTTACTCTGGTTTCTGCGCTGTCATGATATTATGCTTATTATTTTGTAAACGGAATAACTGAGTGTGCTTGGAAATAATGCCTGACCCCTAAATATCCTCAATGAGCAGAAGATAAAACAGATTCTGATCATCAAGGAAAAATTTAGATGTGTACAAATGTGTAATGTTGTATGGGGCATATAATGGTGCAAACACAAGAATAATTGAAACTGTATGTGTAAGTATCTTCCCTAATTTTATCTTCTAGAAAATGTTTTCTGTGGTTTTTATTTTCAAAAGAAACATCAGTGTTTGTGTCTTTAAGGACTTTTGGAGCATAGTATCCCAATGACAGGAAGAGTTAGAAGAAAATTGTATCTCTTTTAAAAGTATGTAATGAAATGGCTATTTGATGCTGTGTATTTTCATAGAAATGCTGTAATGCTGGAAACTGTGCATTTGATTTTGTTAATGTTATACAGCTGAGGATGCCTCTTTAAATCACTATGGAGCACTCACAGGGGGCTCCTCTTCTGTGGTATCGGAGCATATAGGAATTTCTTCTCTTACTATGCTATGGGCAGGGTGAGGTGTAAAAACATACACACAAAAAAAAGCACATCCCACAATTAAAGCTGTGTTGGTTATGTTGCTTTCATAGAAGTTTTTCTCCAAAGCATCCTGAATCTCTCACATGCTAGTTGAGCTTTAATAGGGTGGGGAGTAATGGAAAACTCATTGGATCTGTAATAGCTCTTCACTTGACTGCAGCCAGCAATAACAGCAGGAGCAGCCAGAGATAAGAGAGAGAGAGAGAGTGTGTGTGTATGTGTGTGTGTGTGAGAGAGAGAGGGAGTGGAAGAGAGAGTATACGCACACCAAAGCTGCCACTTTTTTTTCCCCTCACTCTTTTTTTCCCCCATCCTAGGATCCAATGATAGCTGGACAAGTCAGTAAGCCCTTGCTGTCACTGAGGAGTGAAATGAATGCAGAGTTGAGAGGTGAGGACAAGGCAGCTACTTCAGACAACGAGCTGAATGAGCCCTTGCTTGCGCCTGTGGAATCAAATGACAGCGAGGACACTCCCAGCAAGCTCTTCGGTAAGTCTGTCTAGGTATTTCATTTCACTGCTACCATGTTGTCCGGAAGAGCAATCTTCCCCTGTTCTTTTTTTTTTTTTTTTTTTTTTTTTTCCTTGCTTGCTCAATTTTCTTGTAAGTAGGAAAGAGTAGNTCTTCGGTAAGTCTGTCTAGGTATTTCATTTCACTTGTTTGTTTTGGTTTGGTTTCTGTTTGTTTCTTTTTTGTGGTTTTTTTTTTTTTTTTTTTTTTTTTTTCCTTGCTCAATTTTCTTGTAAGTAGGAAAGAGTAGCTTGGAGCATGCAGGCACAGAGTCCTCTGCTCCTATTGCAACTGGTTACCAGAATGACAGCATCAGTCCTGAAAACTTTTGTTAACAATGGACGTATTTAGTGCAAGTTGCAGATGTTTTATGAATATTTTGAACCATGGACTCTAACATAAAATTGTGCCTGCGTGTGTGTGTGTGTGTGTGTGTGTGTATCATTTTCTTGGAGTACTTTAACAATTATTCTGGTAGGTGCTGGTGTGTTGCACATGCTACCAGCTTTTTCCGAGGCTTGATTAAACTGAAAAGTTGAAATTTTTTAATGGTAAAAATAAATCTGACTGAAGAGAACTGAAAGATTCTTGTAGAAAACACTTCACGCTGAGTAAACAAAGCCTAGCAAGGGTATTGCACGTGGAGCTAATGTTTTTGGAATTTAAATTAGAAATTAAATATTCCTCCTCAAGCCCGTGGAAAGATAGATTACCTTTTGATTTTTTATTCATTTTGGAATAGTCTAAATTGTGCCAGATAAGTGTAACATTTCACAATCAAAACAAAAGCAGTGAGAGTGGCACTCCAACACAGACATCTGTCATTCAAACGGATGACACCCTGTAAGCCAACTCAAGCAACTCTGATCTCTAATCAGAAAAGGGAGCAGAGCTGTTGAGGCGCGTGCTTGAGTGATAGATGTTGATAGGTGTCTGAGCTGTAGCAGCACTGTATGGTACGTTGTGACATTTGGGGTTTAGAAGGACTACACTCCTGAAGAAGTCCCTTTTAATTATTTCTGTTTGTGACCTGAGACAAACCTTAATAAAATGGAGCACTTACTTATTTTTTATTATTCTATCGGTGGAAGTCAAAGGGAAAAAGGTCTTGTTTAAAGGGAATGCAGCTCTAAGGGAGAGGGGGTGAGAGCCCATTTTCTAAGATTCAACTTCTGATTTCATAATCTGTAAGGAAATCTGTAGCAGTGTTCAGATTTCAGTATTCTACCTACAATAAGAGCTGCAATATTTTTTAAAAACAAAAGAACACGTGCAATTGTATATTGTAATATTCTTTACACATTACTGAAACATACAGCAGAGAATGTTTTAATAAATAACTTCACTACAAATGCAGGAAAAATAATAATTAAACACCCCCTAAAATTTAATTTCTGGATTGCAGTAATGAGTGCTACTGAATATCACATCCTTTTTTAAGCACCCTCTTAGTAATCTTTGTTTCCATGGAAAACATAATTTCCATTAGCAGTTTGAATGTTCAAAAAGCATATAATAATTATTAGCCCATTTTATCCAGGAAAGAATTATAATGTCTAAAATTCAAAAGGCTATCTAGAGTAATATAAATATCTTCAGCTGTGTTTATATGTTTTATTTGCTCAAATGTTTAGGTTCCCTCTATTAAATACAGCCAGGCATATAGAAAGCAAAAAATGAGCTTTTAATTTCAGGATGGTGAAATGTCTGTTTGTTTTTCGATCAGGCAAGTATTCTAATAAAAGGCAGGATATTTTTTGAGCCCTTGTCATTTGGATGTTCTACAGTGGTAGTGAAATATACACAGACACTTTCATTAGAGTTGTCGTGTGTTATATAGAAATGATGTGTAACCATATCTTGCTCCTTTCTGGGCTGAAAATATAATTTATCTCACTAAAAGCACAAGTGAAAAAGCTCAAAATTCATATATTGTGCTTTTTCTATTGGTGAGTGTAAGATATTTGCTAGTCTGATCCTTATACTGCTAAAAAGATGTTCCCAAGTAAACAAAAGTAGGTGAAATAGTCCAGCTGCTTCGGTATGAACTTCTGTAGCATTTATTGAGGTTTTGTTAGAATTATGACAGACACTACAGATTTATTAGCAACAGTACTTGTCAATTAATTTTAGTAACTTTTATAACAAAAAAACGATGGTGGGGGAATTTTGATACATTTGAGGATCAACTTGAGACAATGTAAAATAAAGATGATTAGATGTTATATCACAGTGCATCCCTTAAGATAGATTTGCAGTAAACACTAAAAATTATCAAGTGCAGTTGTGTTAAAGCTCTGATACATAAATATGGAAAATCACCACCCTATAGTTTTTTCTTTGTTTAATGTTATGAATAGCATGTTAGGAGTGCATACTTTGTACTTTTCTTTGCAGTGTCTGAAGTTAAATTATTGTAAACACATTGACAGGTGTTGGCATAGAGAATGACAACTTTCTCCTTCAACCTTCTTTCATGTAATGAGAGATAATAAATATATTTTTAAAATATAACAATTAATACATGTTGTATGAAAATTTTCCCCAAATCTCTTAAGCAGGTGAGGGAGGAGCATTTTAGAAAGCCAAGAGGAGACAGGTCCCTAGAGAACAAAGTTTTTCTACACTGCTGCTTTTCATTTTTTTTTAAGGATTTGTGAAAATCATGTACTGGTTTAGTTGGAATGAATGACCAGCATTGGTGTGTTTTGTTGATGTTAGCAATATTTCATGAGTCTTATTTTCATATAGATGAACAGACTTGAACGATGAGATGCGAAGAGCTTTCTTTTACCAGACACATTCTGCTTCTTTTGATGGATAAGTTTACTTCTGCAAAGGCCTGCCTTTCTCATCTTTACCTTTTCCTAAAATTTACCTGCTTATTCTCAAATTTCCTTGTTCTGGTATTTCACTGCATGCCATGGAAACATTGGGTATTTATTACCAGTCAAAATGGTACCTTTTCGCTAACAGTCCCTGCGGCCAGTGAGGAAAGGGCAGGAGCACAACTAATTGTATTTATTTTTCAAGAGAGGCACTAAACTTTTGTTTCTCTTATGGGTGCCTTGCTATCAGTAACAAAGTGGATGAATGCTGCAGCATTTTAAGTCTCAGAAATACCAGCATTAAGTTCCTGACGACTTGAAATAGCTTCCACCTGAAATTGGTGTACAGGTGTCTGTGAAGATGCACTTTGCCACTGTTGCAGCTGTTCCCTGTGGGTGAGGACAGGAGTTGCTGTGATTAGAGGGGTTGCTGTTGTTTGCTGGCTTGTTTTCTCCTGGTGGTGGTGATTTTTTTCTTTTTTTTTCATTTTTAGAATTTGTTTCTCTTTGAAAGAAAATGCTGTCCCATAGTCCAGGAGTCTGTAATCCTCTACTTGTGCATTTATACCAGTGGACTCTTGAATTTGCATACTTCATGCTAAAGACTTTTGATACTGAAACCAGAAAAAAGTAGAGAAAGTCATCAAAAATTAGATGCAAAATGTTGGTAAAGGAATTTGTCCTGAAACTCATTACCTCAAAAATACAATTTTGAAATGTGGGTTAGCACAGTTACACTGTGTTTGTTCCAGAAATCCCAGTATGAGATTGTGAAGTTGCTTTGTAAGAGATATTGTGATGAGCTATTTATTTTAAAAATATTTGTGAAGTAATAGCTGCTATTTTAACCATAGAATCTAATTAAGTAACATAGAAACTGAGTATGGCTCTTGAGTTTTCTGGCAGTGTCATTTTCAGATCAACTTGTCTTACTCTGCAACATCCTTCAAAATACTAGCCCAGGCCAAATGCCACCAGTCTTCCCAGAGAAAGCTTTTCTTAATGTTAAGTAGCAGTTTCACTTGAATAAACATATTGGTATTTGATCCTAACTTAAATAATCCTACTTGTCATTTTTTACTGTATTTTCAAACAATTCTAGTATAAATTATGAAGTATTGCTCTGAAAAAAAAAATCTTACAATGAAAAAAGCACCCATCTCATGTTTAGCTGTGTGATAAATTGTTGCGATTCAAAAGTTGGTACAGACACCAAGGGTACGTTGTATATAAAATTTTCAGTAGAGTAAAAAAATCCCAAGAATGAAGTGGCTGATCCAAGTATCAAAACCCCCTGTGGACTGAGGCTGACTTTGAGCCAATTAAGCATTAATTAAGGACTAGATCTAACTCCAGCAAAGTCAGCCTTTTAGAGGCTGACTTTGCTGGAGTTAGATCTAGTCCTTAATTAATGCTTAATTGAAGGCAATTTGTGACATAATTAGATGACGGGGAAAAAATCTGGGAGTGCATGCACTCGCATATTAAGGTAATTTTACTGTATGATAAAAAGTTATTCTTTGAGATTCAGTCTGTAGTTCTATGAATCAAAAAATAAATAAAGCTATAAGTGTATAGTGGGGGCAATACCAAGCCTCTAATTTTGGAGCAGAAGTGTTTCCTATTTAATTATTTCAGGACAGAAAAAAAAAAATTGACTGCTAATCTTTTTTTTTTTTTTTTCCTTTGCTGGCAAGGTTTTGTTCCAGTGAAATGAAATCTTAAGTTTCTTGTGCTGGATCTGATGACTGTAGTTTTCTTTGGTTCATTAGTGGGCTTTTGATCTTTTCATAATGCTGTGTATGCTTGAAACATGGAGTGGGGATATGGGAGTTAAATGAATCTGCACGCATTTAAATAAACAAGTTTTTATTTTCAAACCTCTGCATTGGCTTTGGCATTTTATTTTCCTTTCCCACATTGTTACCTGTGTTTCAGAACTGTGTGCATCCTTCTATATAACCATACATGTATATGCTGCAGAGAAACAAGGTAGAAATTGTTTCGGGCTGATTATGTTTTGCTAGTAGATCCCTTGTACTAGTCTTTAAAGAAACATATGTTATATATATATATATTTTTTTTTTTTTTAATTGGAGTTGTTTTGATTAGAATTTATGGGATGGAATAATTTCAGTAACAAAGGATAAG